TATATATATGTATCGTCAAATTCTCCAACAATTCAATGTCCCTCCCAAAAGCCACAAAGACCAACACCTCTCTTAGGTTTTTCACTATTGGTTTGTTGGGTTGGGTTTTTTAAAATTTGGTTGGGGTTTTTTTCTTTAAGGAACGTATAGGGGGAAAAAGGACGATTGTTTTTAGCAATGGTGAAAGATGGAAAGAGAGAAATATACGTAGATAAAAAAGGACAGACAACAGGGACGAGTTCATACAGGTGCAGAGAGAGAGGGGGGGGAGAGTGAGAGAAGGAGAGAGAGAGAGAGAGAGAGAGAGAGAGAGAGAGAGAGAGAGAGAGAGAGAGAGAGAGAGAGAGAGAGAGAACAGACAGTTGTAGGGGAAACATGTGCGTTGAGGTAATGAATATAGCGGAAAAGTAGGGCCAAATGGACGGGGTTACTGAAAGTTTAAGGTCCTTGAAATGATGCTAGTTAATAAGAGATAGATAAGATACATCTTTATTGTCCAGATCCTGGCACATTGGTTTGGTGTTCCACCACGAGTACACACACACACACACGCACACACACACACACACACACACGCGCGCGCGCGCGCACACACACACACAAACGCACACACGTACATATGTGCACACACATGCACACACAAATAGGCTTTTAATCACATGCATAATATAAATGAGCAGAAATATAAACAATAATAATTGTAAGCTAGATACACGCTCAATGTTATTTTTCGTAAGTATACTTATTCAATGTTAAGGCTTTGTGAGACCCTAAGTTCCAAATCTCTTTCATCATTATCATCCTCATCCTCATCATCATCATCATCATCATCATCCTCCTCCTCCTCCTCCTCCTCCTCCTCCTCATCATCATCATCATCTCCAGATACAAGCTGTAAACCGGGAGAGGAGGGAAAGCCCTACAGCATGTGGTGTAACACAACATGGCTCAATGTGAGTGGAGTGGCCTGGTACTCTCAGACAAACTTGGGGAAAGGTATGTTTTAAATTACTTTCAAGAAATGTCATATATTTCTCGTGTAAGCCATGCAAACATGAGTATTTAACTACACCCCAAAAATCCCGGATTTGGGTCAAAATTAGGGATTTTGAGTTGTAGGCATTTTTAGCTTCTTCAGCCTCTCTTACAACTATTTCATAGCATTAGAACCCTCTAAAATCTTTTTCTTCCCTTACCGGGCATGTTTGTCACCACCATTTCCTCCTAAAGTCTATCTTACATTTTTCTTTATCGTCCGTTTTCTCGAGACGCGGTTTTTCTATATACTTTATTGAATAACCTTACCATTTTTCATTCAATCTTCATGAAATTTTCACAGTATGCAGAGAAGATATAATACTAAAAACCTGTCTGTTGAATTTTTGACATATAGAACAGACTTTTGTTGGTGGTGTCAGGAGTGTGGATTTTTACGGATTTGTTAGCAAATTTGAATACTACCTCTGAAAAAAAAAAAGATTAAATATTTTCTAATTCGTTTAAGAAAAATTCAAAAAATTATTCTGAAGATTTTAAGTTTGCTAACATGCATGCAAAAAACAAATTATTTCCATGGAAAATAAGTGCGGTATTAATTACGTAAGACACATCAATAAAATCCGATATAGCCTCCTTAGCCATGGGGAGGAAACTTTTTTCTCAAATTTGATTGCGGATTTTAAGACTTGTGCGAAAGAAGTTGGTAAAATTTGATCCACTAATAAGCGAGATAGCCTTCTGGTGTCGCCTCCCCCCCTAAGGCGGAGCAGAAGAATTGAGCAATGTGACATGTTTTGGGTACTTCGTGATCAGAATAGTATTGCTCTGGTGTAATTTAAATGCCATACAAGAATTTTAGTCCATTCTTTTAAATGTATTTTGTAATGACTATTTTTTAATTGGGGTATATTTAAACAGGTAGTTTGGAATATGACCAACATTCAT